CTACTTGGATGATCCACTCAACATAAAGGAAAAAAGAACTTGTCAGGGTCAAACGGCACCCGGCGGACTCAAAAGTCATAGAGTCATAGAGATTTCATGAAATTTTGAAGAGATATCACATGTTATACCAGCGTTGACCCCAAACAGATGTAGAAATTTTAAATTATACTGTCCATGCGAATCAAGGAACCCAGGGTGGGAGACAAGTGTGGGAGACAAGGGGGAGACAAGTGTAAACTCATGCGGCCCAAGGAACCCAGAGTGGGAGACAAGTGTGGGAGACAAGTGTGGGAGACAAGTGTGGAAGACAAGTGTGGGAGACAAGTGAGGGAGACAAGTGGGAGACAAGTGTAAACTCATGCGCTCCAAGGCATCCAGAGTGGGAGACATGTGTGGGAAACAAGTGGGAGGCAAGTGTAAAATCATGCGGCCCAAGGCACCCAGAGTGAAAGACAAGTGTGGGAGACAAGTGGAAGACAAGTGTAAACTCATGCGGCCCAAGGCACCCAAGTGTGAGGGACAAGTGAGGGACAAGTGTAAACTCATGCGGCCCAAGGCACCCAGAGTGGGAGACAAGTGTGGGAGACAAGTGGGAGACAAGTGTAAACTCATGCGGCCCAAGGCACCCAGAGTGGGAGAGAAGTGTGGGAGACAAGGGGGAGACAAGTGTAAACTCATGCGGCCCAAGAAACCCAGAGTGGCAGACAAGTGTGGGAGACAAGCGTGGGAGACAAGTGTGGAACACAAGTGTGGGAAACAAGTGTGGGAGACAAGTGGAAGACAAGTGTAAACTCATGCGGCCCAAGGCACCCAGAGTGGGGGACAAGTGTGAGAGACAAGTGTTGGAGACAAGCGGGAGACAAGTGTGAAAATCATGCGACCCAAGACACCCAGAGTGAAAGACAAGTGTGGGAGACAAGTGGAAGACAAGTGTAAACTCATGCGGCCCAAGGCACCCAGAGTGGGAGACAAGTGTGGGAGACAACCCAAGACACCCGGAGTGGAAGACAAGTGTGGGAGACAAGTGGAAGACAAGTGTAAACTCATGCGGCCCAAGGCACCCAGACTGGGAGACAAGTGTGAGAGATAAGTGGAAGACAAGTGTAAACTCATGTGGCCCAAGACACCCAGAGTGAAAGACAAGTGTGGGAGACAAGTGGAAGACAAGTGTAAAATCATGTGGCCCAAGGCACCCAGAGTGCGAGACAAGTGTGAAAGACAAGTGGGGGACAAGTGTAAAATCATGCGGCCCAAGGCACCCAGAGTGAAAGACAAGTGTGGGAGACAGGTGGAAGACAAGAGTAAAATCATGCGGCCCAAGGCACCCAGAGTGAGAGATAAGTGTGGAAGACAAGTGTGGGAGACAAGTGTAGGCTCATGCAGCCCAAAGAACCCAGAGTGGGAGACAAGTGTGGGGGACAAGTGAGAGACAAGTGTAAACTCATGCGGCCCAAGGCCACCAGAGTGGGAGACAAGTGTGGGAGACAAGTGTGGGAGACAAGTGGGAGACAAGTGCAAACTCATGCGGCCCAAGGCACCCAGAGTGGGAGACAAGTGTGGGAGACAAGTGTGGGAGACAAGTGGGAGACAAGTGTAAAATCATGCGGCCCAAGGCACCCAGAGTGAAAGACAAGTGTGGGAGACAAGTGGGAGACAAGTGTAAACTCATGCAGCCCAAGGAAACCAGAGTGTGAGGGACAAGCGGGAGACAAGTGTAAAATGATGCGGCCCAAGGCACCCAGAGTGGGAGACAAGTGCGGCAGACAAGTGGAAGACAAGTGTAAACTCATGCGGCCCAAGGCACCCAGAGTGGGAGACAAGTGTGGGACATATGTGTGGGAGACAAGTGTAAACTCATGCGGCCCAAGGCACCCAGAGTGGGAGACAAGTGTGGAAGACAAGTGTGGGAGACAAGTGTAAACTCATGCGGCCCAAGGCGCCCAGAGTGCGAGACAAGTGTGGGAAACAAGTGTGGGAGACAAGTGGGAGACAAGTGTAAACTCATGCGGCCCAAGACACCCAGAGTGGCAGACAAGTGTGGAAGACAAGTGTAGGAGACAAGTGTAAACTCATGTGGCCCAAGGCACCCAGAGTGGGAGACAAGTGTGAGGGACAAGTGGGAGACAAGTGTAAACTCATGCGGCCCAAGGCACCCAGAGTCGGAGACAACTGTGGGAGCCAAGTGGAAGACAAGTGTAAACTCATGCGGCCCAAGGCACCCAAGTGTGAGGGACAAGTGAGGGACAAGTGTTATAAATCATTCGGCCCAAGGCACCCAGAGTGGGAGACAAGTGCGGAAGACAAGTGGGAGACAAGTGTAAACTCATGCGGCCCAAGGCACCTTGAGTGGGAGACACGCGTGGGAGACAAATGGAAGACAAGTGTAAACTCATGCGGCCCAAGCACCCAGAGTGCGAGACAAGTGTGGGAAACAAGTGTGGGAGGCAAGTGTAAACTCATGCGGCCCAAGGCCACCAGAGTGGGAGACATGTGTGGGAGACAAGTGGGAAACAAGTGGGAGACAAGTGCAAACTCATGCGGCCCAAGGCACCCAGAGTGGGAGACAAGTGTGGGAGACAAGTGTGGGAGACAAGTGGAAGACAAGTGTAAACTCATGTGGCCCAAGGCACCCAAGTGTGAGGGACAAGTGGGAGACAAGTGTAAAATGATGCGGCCCAAGACACCCAGAGTGGGAGAGAAGCGTGGAAGACAAGTGTAGGAGACAAGTGTAAACTCATGCGGCCCAAGGCACCCAGAGTGGGACACAAGTGGGAGACAAGTGGGAGACAAGTGTAAACTCATGCGGCCCAAGGCACCCAGAGTGGGAGACAAGTGTGGGAGAGAAGTGGAAGACAAGTGTAAACTCATGCGGCCCAAGGCACCCAGAGTGGGAGACAAGTGTGGGAGATAACTGTGGGAGACATGTGTGGGAGACAAGTGTAAACTCATGCGGCCCAAGGTAACCAGAGTGGGAGACAAGTGTGGAAGACAAGTGTGGGAGACAAGTGTAAACTCATGCGGCCCAAGGCACCCAGAGTGAAAGACAAGTGTTGGGAGACAAGTGGAAGACAAGTGTAAACTCATGCAGCCCAAGGAAACCAGAGTGTGAGGGACAAGCGGGAGACAAGTGTAAAATGATGCGGCCCAAGGCACCCAGAGTGGGAGACAAGTGCGGAAGACAAGTGGAAGACAAGTGTAAACTCATGCGGCCCAAGGCACCCAGAGTGGGAGACAAGTGTGGGAGATAAGTGTGGGAGACAAAAGTGGGAGAGAAGTGTAAACTCATGCGGCCCAAGGCACCCAGAGTGGGAGACAAGTGTGGAAGATAAGTGTGGGAGACAAGTGTAAACTCATGCGGCCCAAGGCACCCAGAGTGCGAGACAAGTGTGGGAAACAAGTGTGGAAGACAAGTGGGAGACAAGTGTAAACTGACTCATGCGGCCCAAGACACCCAGAGCGGGAGACAAGTGTGGAAGACAAGTGTAGGAGACAAATGTAAACTCATGCGGCCCAAGGCCACCAGAGTGGGAGACAAGTGTGGGAGACAAGTGTGGGAGACAAGTGGAAGACAAGTGTAAACTCATGCGGCCCAAGGCACCCAAGTGTAACGGACAAGTGAGAGACAAGTGTAAAATCATTCGGCCCAAGGCACCCAGAGTGGGAGACAAGTGCGGAAGACAAGTGGGAGACAAGTGTAAACTCATGCGGCCCAAGGCACCTTGAGTGGGAGACACGTGTGGGAGACAAATGGAAGACAAGTGTAAACTCATGCGGCCCAAGGCACCCAGAGTGCGAGACAAGTGTGGGAGACAAGTGGGAGACAACACTCATGCAGCCCAAGGCAACCAGAGTGGGAGACATGTGTGGGAGATAAGTGTGGGAGACAAGTGTGGGAGACAAGTGTGGGAGACAAGTGTAAACTCATGCGGCCCAAGACACCCAGAGTGAAAGACAAGTGTGGGAGACAAGTGGAAGACAAGTGCAAACTCATGCGGCCCAAGGCACCCAAGTGTGAGGGACAATTGGGAGACAAGTGTAAAATGATGCGGCCCAAGACACCCAGAGTGGGAGACAAGCGTGGAAGACAAGTGTAGGAGACAAGTGTAAACTCATGCGGCCCAAGGCACCCAGAGTGGGAGACAAGTGGGAGACAAGTGTAAACTCATGCGGCCCAAGGCCACCAGAGTGGGAGACAAGTGTGGGAGAGAAGTGGAAGACAAGTGTAAACTCATGCGGCCCAAGGCACCCAGAGTGGGAGACAAGTGTGGGAGATAAGTGTGGGAGACAAGTGTGGGAGACAAGTGTAAACTCACGCGGCCCAAGGTAACCAAGCGGGAGACAAGTGTGGAAGACAAGTGTGGGAGACAAGTGTGGGAGACAAGTGTAAACTCATGCGGCCCAAGGCACCCAGAGTGGGAGACAAGTGGGAGACAAGTGTAAACTCATGCGGCCCAAGACACCCAGAGTGGGAGACAAGTGTGGGAGACAAATGGAAGACAAGTGTAGACTCATGCGGCCCAAGGCACCCAGAGTGCCAGACAAGTGGGAGAGACAAGTGGGAGACAAGTGTAAACTCATGCGGCCCAAGGCACCCAGAGTGCGAGACAAGTGTGGGAAACAAGTGTGGGAGACAAGTGGGAGACAAGTGTAAACTCATGCGGCCCAAGACACCCAGAGTGGGAGACAAGGTGTGGAAGACAAGTGTAGGAGACAAGTGTAAACTCATGCGGCCCAAGGCATCCAGAGTGGGAGACAAGTGTGGGAAACAAGTGTGGGAGACAAGTGGGAGACAAGTGTAAACTCATGCGGCCCAAGACACCCGCAACCCTTTGAAAGGAGTAAGAACCCCATACAGGTAAACCTGTTTGTGTTCAGCCCGGAGCTGAAGCTCGCCATGACTTGGCACCTTTGGGAGTTGCACCTGTGATATCAGAAGTTGAGATCCTCACCTGGCAGGGGAAAAAAAAACACAAAAAACATCGAAAACAAAGCCGTGAGTCCTCCGCCAAGCTTTGGATGTCGTGGCCAGAATACGATCCATGGGAGAACCTTAACGTTGCGCGACAAGATGTTGACGGTTTTACCATCTGCGATTTAGCGATTTAGTTATAGTGTCCCACTGCAGCATGTTGACACATTCATCATCATCATTTGTACGATACGAATCCATCGGTACCAACATCAGGCCGATGAAAGTCCTGTGATTGGCGCAGGGGCAACCGTGTAATAGGCAATTTGCGAAGCCGATGAATGTCTTGTCCGGGCTGCGTGGTGGCGATGTTTTCGTGGGTGTAGAAGATTGTGTCGATGAACACCTTCGTACAAACATGTGGAAATCCAACCTAGCACCGTGATAAAGGGTGTCCAAAGGGTGTCCAAAGCCGTCTAAGAGCCAAGCCCAATCATCATAGGGCATCTGCTTTTCAGGAAGATCGGGTGAATAAAGGACCTGAGGGAAATCTTGAGCTTTCAACATCTTTCAACCATTTCCAGCGGCCAAAGCAGAATTGTTGTTTCACAGCTGTGTCGAAAGAATGCAGTTCAGCTAAGCATCTTGTGGCCCTCTATTCTCATAGAAAATTCCTGAGAGGTGGATCTACTGGATCAAGGCAAGAAGTTGAACAAAGGACGAAGAGTCTCCATACTCTGCTGAAAACATCTGAAAACTGGAACCAAGTGGCGCCACAAAATCTCCATGACCGCAGGGTCAGTCTTCAAATGGCTTGCGAAAGGCTCCAGCATAGATTCGATGATACTGGCACGGACCTGCAAAAAGTCTGCGAGAGCACATGCGCAGCAATGAAAATTGTTAAACTACAATCTCCCGTAGAAACAACGCAAATCAAACAAGAGGCAGCTGATCAAACTGACACATGAGGCAGCTGTTTCAAATTCAAATTATTTCAGCAAAGTCGGCCTGTGCAGAAACACCATGAGGAACACCATGAGCATCAGCAAGTGGAAGTGCCAACTTGTTGGGTCTCCTCTTCACTCATCCAGTATACATTCAGCGGCCAAAAGACACAAGGAGAATTTTTTGTGCCGACATGCTGCTGCATTCCTGCCCAAATGTTGCAAAAAAAATTGAAGACTGCTATGACCTGTCATACCTGTCATGATCTGAATTCTGACCCGCAAAACATCACAAAACACTACAGACAAATCAAACAGCAAAAAAGTACTGAAATCATATGAAATCATCATCAAACTTGCAGTACTCATCACACTTAGCTCCTCGCCTCATCACTTCTGCTGGTGCGCTCAAGCTGCGGCCAGGAGCGGCCGAGCGCCCCGTTTTTAAAGTCCCCGAAAGCCCCATGGACCCTGCAAGGTGGCGAACAAGTCTGGCAGAGTACACTGGTTCTTGCTATCACTCTGAACTGCTTCTCGAAATGATCTTTAAGTGCAATACATTCATCTACAATAAGTTACTTCAATGTCTCTGCAAGTGGCGGTGTGGCGCACTTTCTAGATGAGGATTTTCCCGAAATAGTGACTGTTCCGGCCCCAAATATGCAATGAACTGCTGCATTTTACACAAACTTCCAAATTTCCATTGCTAGTCGTTTGACGGCTCTGCTCTCCCTTCATTGAAATCTGCTCATAGGTGAACAAACTGTGAGGAGACAATGCAACAAAGGCAAGCGTCGATGTAAATAGTCGCAGTGCAAAATCACCAAAAGAAGTGACAAAAATGTTGCTGACACCCACAGATCCAGCCGATGCCTGTCTGATTTCCGTTGCGCTCAACGTTGGTCCCACCAGGCCCCTCCCAAAGCAACTAACATCCATAGTAATAGCAAATGGATGCAACTGGAGGTCTGACGATTGTCTCTTCAATGCTTTTTGCCATCAAACGACTTTCATGTCATGATGTGACTCCGCTCCACGCCTCCCGAGAGCGCCCCTGCCATCTGTTGGACTTAGATGTGGAACTTGGCTGCCCGTTTGCGTCATGGCCATCGTGGCCATTGGCGGCGCCATTGGCGGCGCCATTGGCGGCGCCATTCGTCCAGTTGACATGCCAGCGAACGGCGTCATCACCTCCGTCTGGCATGTTCCCGTCAGAGCGTCCACTTTGCCCCCAATGGTTGGCTTTGGAACCATCCTTGCCTGCGAAAAACAGAAGTTGAATCACTCAAGTAGATTGAAATCAAGAGGTTCAGATAGGTTCAGCAAATGCAGCCACCGAATTCATTGGAATTTCACCTCGATGCTGGAAGTCAGCCCGCTCACGTTGTCTGAAACCGTCAACATTGGAAAGGAACGAAAGGAACGTCGTTTCTCATTGCCATCAAGCAGCCATGATTTCTGCCACTGCCATGCCCATGCCAGCGCTTGCCGCTGCATGGATCAGTTGGCTGATCTTCAGCATCTTGGCCATCAGCTCCTGCATGACACCACCCTTTCACTTATGCAAACCTCAAGTTTCTATTTTTCAAACATTCCTTACAAGGCCAGGAGAGTAGCACAGGCTTATGTGAAACATTGACAAATCACAAGCTGAATCACTCAAAGGACTTGTTGTTGATGTAGCTTTAAATCAAGAGGTTCAGCATACGAGGCCATGAAGTCAATCGGGATTGACTCGGCACTAAAATTGCCCAAAAAACCATGGAAATTGGTACAAAGCCACCTCAAGTGCTATCAAGCAGCCATCGTTTCCAGCACCGGTTCTATACCCATGCCAGCCATGCTTGCCAATGGACGGATCAATTGGCCCTTTGTCTCCTTTGGCATCTTGTCCCGCTTGTCCTGCATGACATGTGGCATCACGCGCAGCAAATCACTATTTTCCACTAATAATGTCCACTAAGAAGGTATGTCAGATAGAATGCCAGAAGATTTGCCAGTAACAAAATGTATAAATGTCATGGTGGGGATAACTCGAAGTAAAGTAAATTCATATAACTAATTTTGTTCCTGCACTTGCGGCTGACAGATCAGTGGTAGCCACATGTGGTCGGTAACGTCCTGCCCATGTGCCTGTGGCGCCCTCTCCCTCACCGAGAGGGGCACCATGTGGCATGAAGGATGTGAAGACTGAGACGGGTCGAACTGTGGGCCGCTTGATTTCTTTCTCGCGATCCTCAGCCACGTGATATGAAGACCTTTCATATTTCATCATGTTTCCATTTTTGAAATGTTCTTCAAATCATTTGAAGGTGCGTTTTGAAGATTTGGTGAAGTCGAAAAGGGAGAATAGCTGATTCAAAAGCGTACACCGAAGAAAAATCCTGAAGATGTCGCAAACAGGCATCCAGCTGCCGTTGAACAAAACTACCGAGAGCGTTGTTCCCGTTCCCCACCTCCTCATTGTCGCTGTCGCTTGCCCATTGCATTGGCTGCGGCTCCTGGGTCTCCATCGCTCTGCGCACGTCAGCGCTGTCAGTTTGCCTTGAGTCCTCTGCTGGCTCTGCCTCAGTCTGCCTGGCTTCATCAGCCACTTCTGCACGCGGTTCCGGACATAGCTCTTCCCCCGAGAGCAGTCGACGCCAAGCTTCTCTCGGGTCAATTGGGAGCACTGTCTCCAAATGCCAAATCCAATGTTTCTTCTGCACTCTGGCATTTTGACACCCTGCTCTTTGAGCTGCCACCTCCGAAAGGTCACAACAAAGTGGAAACTTGGTTTAGCTGGACATCAATTTGTTCATACAGGAATCACACTCAAATTCCTACGGTGTATCTAGAAATAACATGAAACAACCTTGTACCTGCAGGTGCCTCCAATCTAAACTCATGTTTGCACACACGGCGAAAATTCGAAACCAAACCTCGTGTGTAGCGACATCCAAAGCCTGCCAAAAATACTCACGAATTTCAACCAGCATTCTTAGGCTGCACGTCCATAGAAACCCGCGCGTCTTTTGCTGCCAGGTGAGCATGACGTTTTTGTTGAACTTGGATCTAAGGTTTTGCAGATGGTTGCACTTTCATGTTGGTTTTTTGACAGATCATCATGGATTCATTGTTAACATATCATTCATTCATTTCAGTGTTGAAGATGACAGCGTCTGAAACTAACTTGGGATGACAAAAACACATGTTTTTCATTGCGTTTCGTGTATGACTTGGCACATTAAATTTCGACATCGGGACAGGAAATTTCATGTATTGCAAGTGCAAAAGAAGATCTCAGAGCGTAGCATGACGTGTGTGTGCGAGTGCAAGAGAAGATCCCAGAGCGTAGCATGACGTGTGTGTGTGTGCAAGTGCAAGAGAAGATCCCAGAGCGTAGCATGACGTGTGTGCGCAAGTGCAAGAGAAGATCCCAGAGCGTAGCATGACGTGTGCGTGCAAGTGCAAGAGAAGATCCCAGAGCGTAGCATGACGTGCGTGTGCGTGTGCAAGTGCAAGAGAAGATCCCAGAGCGTAGCATGACGTGTGTGTGCAAGTGCAAGAGAAGATCCCAGAGCGTAGCATGACGTGTGTGTGTGTGTGTGCAAGTGCAAGAGAAGATCCCAGAGCGTAGCATGACGTGTGTGTGTGTGCAAGTGCAAGAGAAGATCCCAGAGCGTAGCATGACGTGTATGTGAAAGTGCTAAAGAACATCCCAGAGCGTAGCATGACGTGTGTGTGTGTGTGCAAGTGCAAGAGAAGATCCCAGAGCGTAGCATGACGCGCGTGTGCAAGTGCAAGAGAAGATCCCAGAGCGTAGCATGACGTGTGTGTGCAAGTGCAAGAGAAGATCCCAGAGCGTAGCATGACGTGTGTGTGCAGTGCAAGAGAAGATCCCAGAGCGTAGCATGACGTGTGCGTGTGTGTGTGTGTGTGTGCAAGTGCAAGAGAAGATCCCAGAGCGTAGCATGACGTGTGTGTGCAAGTGCAAGAGAAGATCCCAGAGCGTAGCATGACGTGTGTGTGCAAGTGCAAGAGAAGATCCCAGAGCGTAGCATGACGTGTGTGTGCAAGTGCCCCAGAGCGTAGCATGACGTGAAGTGCAAGAGAAGATGCGTAGCAACATGACGTGCGTGTGCCACTTGACATGAACGTTATTGCCCCACCCCACCCCACCCTTCCCCCCCCATATCACAGATATGCATGTTGTATTGCGGGTTTCTAGGGACGTGCATGGTCTTAGTAACTATATGTAACTATGTAACATTTGTTGTCTTATCTTCCGCAAGATCGACCTGCACTTCGTGAATGACATTGAATCGTTCAGGCAAGGAAGAGTTCGTCCGGTTGGAGAAAGTCTTGGCAATGAATCGGATGTTTTCTTCCACGTCCTGCTGAAGCTTTCGGAGTTTGCCTCCATCCCAAAACTCAGATAGCTCCGTAAAAAAATGTCGAGAAATGGACTGCGCATAGTACTCCACTTTCCGAGAGGTCCGGGCTTCGAAAACGCACAAAGCAATGGCTGGTTGGCGTCTATCCTCTGACCTGGCTTAACATTCCGGGGTCGCGCCATATGAAGCAGCTGCATACCTGCACCTCCCAAAAGCACACAAGTTACTGCTCTTTCATTTTTTTCAAGCTGCCAGCAGTTTTTTTGCTCGTTTCGAGCGATTGATTCTGGTCTTGACAGCTTCGTTTATTCCCCACCTGCCAGGTGAGGGTTGTTAGATTTTATCAGAGCGCATGCTCCTCCTCCTCCTCCTCCTCGACTAGCTGTCCTCCTCGCTCTCCTCCTCGCCTCCGCCTCTTCCACCTCCACTTCCGCCTTGCCAACCTTGCCAACTCGTCGCCAAGCTCTTCGCCAACTTCCCAGCTCAGTGCGCACTGCTGGACCTCAACCTGCGAGCTGCCCAGCTCAGTGTGCACCGCTGGACCTCAACCTGCGAGCTGCACCTCAACCTGCGAGCTGCCCAGCTCAGTGTGCACCGCTGGACCTCAACCGGGGACCTGCCCAGCTCAGTGTGCACCGCTGGACCTCAACCTGCGAGCTGCCCAGCTCAGTGCCTCAACCTGGGACCTGCCCAGCTCAGTGTGCACCGCTGGACCTCAACCGGGGACCTTCCCAGCTCAGTGTGCACCGCTGGACCTCAACCTGGGACCTGCCCAGCTCAGTGTGCACCGCTGGACCTCAACCTGGGACCTGCCCAGCTCAGTGTGCACCGCTGGACCTCAACGGCCAGATAGAATGCCAGAAGATATGCCAGATGGAATGTCAGATAGAATGCCAGAAGATATGCCAGATAAAATGCCATGAGATATGCCAGATAGAATGCCAGAAGATATGCCAGATAGAATGCCAGAAGATATGCCAGAAGATATGCCAGATAGAATGCCAGAAGATATGTCAGATAGAATGCCAGAAGATATGCCAGATAGAATGCCAGATAGAATGCCAGAAGATATGTCAGAATATATGCCAGAAGATATGCCAGATAGAATGCCATGAGATATGCCAGATAGAATGCCATGAGATATGCCAGATAGAATGCCAGATAGAATGCCATGAGATCTGCCAGATAGAATGCCAGAAGATATGCCAGATATGCCAGATGCCAGATAGAATGCCAGAAGATATGTCAGAATAGATATGCCAGATGCCAGAAGATGCCAGATAGAATGCCAGATAGAATGCCAGAAGATATGTCAGATAGAATGCCAGAAGATTTGCCAGATAGAATGCCAGAAGATGTGCCAGAACATATGCCAGAAGATATGCCAGAAGATATGCCAGATAGAATGCCAGAAGATATGTCAGATAGAATGCCAGAAGATTTTCCAGTAAGAAAATGTATAAATGTCATGGTGGGGATCACACGAAGTAAAGCAATTATTTTTTGTCAGAGGGTTGGTCTCATAGCTATAGTTACTACCGCAAATGGTGAACTATATGTAGACTATACAGTGGGGGCAATGGGGTCGTAACATTTCTACTTCTATTCCGCTTTTTGTGCAGAAAACATGGAGCCATCATTTCATCAGTGGAAACTTTGGACCTCAGGATCACAGCAACCTCATGGCTTTGAGATGGTTTTGATCTTTGGTTTGCATCCACAAAATCATGCCACCTGGCTGCCAACCAAACAAAATGTCAAATAAAAGTAAAAGAAATGATTGCATTGAGTAGTGGGTTGATTACCCTTGTCTGTTCCATCGAACCATTTGTCCTGCAATCACCAACTCAAGGCCGTAAATTCCCAACCAAACGGCATTTTTGTGGCTTCGAGTTTTGGGCAACCTCGGAGACTTTTGAGTCTGAATTAAGTGGTACTTTTCTCTGTTTTGATGTAAATGTGTATCCTTTAGCCACTGAAGGGACCATTACTTTGAAAAGTAATCCCATGAATCTACATGAATGTTGCATGTCAAGGCGCCCAGTGTTCATATATCCAGCCAAAAAGTCCGAGTATTTGAGTCGTTTGATTGGAGCAACCGGGCACTGCTCCCGCGAAGTGGTCAAGCATAGATGACCAGGTGGTGCTTGAAGCTCACAAGAGGCAGACGACAGGCTATCGCGTGGTCGGAGCACAACCGGTTGCACCTGTCCACCGGGTGTAATGCATCTATATAGCTATAGTAGCTATAGTCCATGCGGTGCAAATGTAACTGTTTCCCACGTTCTTAATGTAGCAAGGAGATCAATAGTCCAAGTGCACCAAACACATCTAAGCACAGCCTCTTCAGGCACTTTGAACCAGCCTGAGATAGCCTGTGACTCATTGTGAAAGCTTCATGAACTATCACACGCTATCACTCGCTTGCCTGCAACTTGCTTTCTTCATCGTGCTCCTGACCTCTGACGACGCAGAAGTTCATGGCAACCGCCAAATGCCAAGCAGCGATCTTCAATTCTTTGGAGCCATGACTCAGAAAGATTGATCTGACCTGGAGCCGAAGGGGCAAGAGTTTGCTGTTAATCTGGAGGTGAAACATAGGTGGTGCAATTTCTGTTGCATCAAACGGTAGCACCATCATCTGCGTTTCCTGCCCGATGCTTTATTGTGCTTTTACAATGCAATCCTTGGAAGTATGCAACCCTTTAACGGGTAGCAGCTCTTCACAATTAAGCTGAGCACGCTGGCAAGAAAAATCGCCCGTGCGAGGTGTGTTTCTCGCTCATCTGAAGGCAAAGACTCTGGCAAAAGGCCCCTTAAATCTGCATCTGTTTCATTCCAGCCTGGGCTCGATATTAGGAACGAAGCTGCGCATAATGACGAAAGTTGTGGCACAAAGCGCGTGTGAACTGTCCCTCTGAGGCCCACACTTGCTAGACCCAAGTTCTCAACTCCCTTGGTCACTTTGCCGCTCACTTTGCCGCTCATCCTTGACGACAACCTCGCAACAAAGTCCTTGGCTTCCTCCAACCAATCGGACACGTCAGCGATGTAGACCACCTCAACCTGGACAGGAGTTGTGGCACAAGATTTGAGCTTTGTCCGCTACTTACTTAGCTTCAACGCATCATGGTTTATCTAGAAATTATAGTAATTCAAAAGCTGTGCATTTTCCCGGCGTGATTTGGCAAGATCCACAAGTGGTTCATGATGCCACAATCCACAATGCCCTACCGCCATTCCAGGCAGGTCACTGGCTTTCGAAAATGCAGGCGCTCTGTCAAGATGATTCGAAGGTGCTTCACTTCAGACATGAATTTCTTCAAGTCTTCTCGACTTCGACCAGGTACGTCCTGGTGAAAAATGCATCAAATGCGATGAAAGGCTGACTTTCATGAAAAACAATGTGATTAATGTGATTTATAATAACTTTGTGTGTGTGTTGGAAGCTGCTCGGAGCACAACTACTTGACACTTGGGTCCTCTTCAGCCTCTTCCTCTTCATAGTCTCCGTGCATATGTCTTCCTGTCGATTGGCGCAAAACGATGCATGCCTATGGGCTGTGAAGGCTGACATGATGAAACTCTTTTGCCTCTTAGAGATTTCGCCCAACTTAGTCTCAGTTGCCCGATGTTCCACACAACGTCGTCAGGGTTTTTAGCCCAACGCGCTTCAATTTCCGAAATTTTGTGAACACGGAATGCCTTCAAAAGGATTCCCTAAACAAGCTCCGTTTTCAGCAGCCGTGGCAAAAGAGACAAGCAATTATAGGCTAAGCATTTAGTGTGACTTCAGAGACCATCAAGAACCCTAACGATCACACGGGGGCAAAATTGAGCATCTGGTTGACTCCAATGAGCTTTGGCTAATTTCCGTCTTGGTGGAATTTCAACGCTCTTCTTCGGTTGTGTTGCTAGCTGTCGCCTTCCATGTTTGGATGTTGACATTCTGACATGCTGGATAATCTGATACAGAGAATGATCTCGACACTGGGAGACAGTGAGTTTTGCTCCAAACAAACGTCACCCTGCCTGGCATCTCCTTCTCCAAATAACCCAAGACAAGCATAATTTGCCTCACCACCTGTGAATACACATTTCCGTCCTCCCATGAATGGTCCGGGTCCATCGAACCAACCTTGCTGTCCACAAGTCGCAGGACTTCCAAATATGTGCCCCACCCAACAGTAGGTAGAACTCCCCAATCCTGAAACAAGTGTTTGATAAGACGGTAGTCCCAGTAGTATGCATTGAGGGCTTGAGCTCCTGCAGCTTCTGCTGCGAGTCTCGCCATGTCCTCTGTCACATAATCACTCGTCTTCAAGAAGAGAGACGATTGATCATTGACGGCGAGGCTTGAAGTTGCAAAGAAAGTTCCTTGATGGGGCTCCCAATGATTTTCAAATGCGTGTTTTCTGCTCGAAGTGTCTGGGAGAAAGATCCAAGCCTCATTCTTCAAAAAAGCACGCACTTCCCGCACTTCCTGGCACACTTCTGCATCTGGATCTTCCTCTCCTTGGTCTGGTTTGATATGTTCCCGCTCCAGCGCCTTGCGCAAAGCATCATACAGTTGGATTGCATGATCATGGCTCATCGGCAAACGAGTTCCATTCCGAGCCTTCAACGTTTCACACAGAATCTTTGACGTCGGCTTGTCCATGACCCAGTTCAAGCATGTCCAACGTCTGGCAAGCTCGTGAACGCTCTGATCGAAGCAATGGCTGGACAGGAAGTGGTTGGATGAATACTCACGATATCGCCTGCAGTTGTTGCTCAGAATCCATCCCTTCATCGGCGAAAGTAATTGAGTCTTGTGGAATGAAGGCATCCAATCTGCGTTGCAAAAGAGATATGCGAAAGAGTTCTGGGGGACTTGTGCTTGACTTCGACTGGCTGGATCTGGAAAGTATTTGGCATAGAAAGAGCCATGTGGCGCCAGCCATTGCACCATCTCCCTTGCTGCGTCATGAGCAGAAGTCATGTGGCTTAGAGCACGAACGATGTGTGCAAAGTCATCGCTTTCACTCTGCCAAAGTGGCAAATTGTCACATGGTTGAAGACTTACGACTGGCCAACAACCCAGTTCCTGCCAAAATGTCTCCCACGGCAAGGAGTGTGGCTCACTGTTCAACTTGTAGAGGTATGAGACGTTGTGTCTCGGTGGGCCTTTCCAAGCTGCTTTGATCTTTGGGGGCAGTCCAACAACATGCACAACAGCCTCCGACAGCTGAACCGGATCAGGCAGAGTACGCATGTTCCTTCCTTGGTTTGCTGGAAAAACTCTGAAATCAACTCCCAATTGCGTGATACACCCCGAAGCAACGCTGCCAAAAACCTGCTCCCCAAAAATCAACAAAAAAAGCAAAAAGAATGGCATGCCACCAATTAAGCCCAGAATCCATCAGATTCATCAATCACAACCCACATTTTTTTCCGGAGCTCGGCAAGGAAAGTGCTCCGTTGGTCAGGCTTCACCAGCCCCAAGCAGTAACCTCGGAGTTTAGGCTGTAGGCATGCGACAGGCGCCAAACTTTTACTTAGAGTTTTTACTCGGACTCATAGTGGTCGAAGTTGATTCATGGGTGCTTCATGTTGAAGGTCTCTGGGCTCACTAAAGGACCCATGAAACCCATGAATAATGGATGATTTAGGGTAGCTCCTGATGCTTCTGAAGTCAGATCGAGCAACGGGCTCTCTGCGTGGCAGCAATCAACTGTTCACTGTCCAGGGCTTCATCCGATGTCAACATTGGCACCAGGATGTCCTTAGAAAAGCGATCACAGTGCTGCCATTGAGGTAAGGTAGAGTGGTAGATGCCTTTTCGGCACTATCTCGCATGACATAAAAATTGCCTTCTTTAAGCGCCGGCAACACCCATTTAACCAGCACTAGCAACAATGGTGCCAAATGTATGAGATGTTCAACCTATATCCATTCGTTCGGCCCCTTGGCCTCCTTTGAGAGCTTCTTGCTAAGGAACTTCTCCGGGCGATATTCAAGAAAACACGTCTTGCCGAGCAAGCATCGTTCAAGAAACGAACGCTGTCCGTCTGCTGTACCCCTAATCTTCTGGTCAAAAATAGTTCAACTTCCTTGCTCATCATTTGCTTGAACTTCAGGCTCAGACCTTCTGCGTAGCCTGTAATGAGGACACGGAAATCGTGATGTGAATTCTATCTGCTAGCTCGATGGAACATCCAAAGTGGATCCGATTTGAGAAGCCGAATCTGCAAAGGCCGAATCACAATCGATGCAAAATAAAAGCTACAATCGGTTCTGGCTTAGACCCAGAGCGGATGAAGACAAACAATTTCCAAGCAAGCATTTTTACTGGTTCAAATTTCTGTTTTCGGACTCAGGAATGGGGCATTGTACATGGCCAAAACCATGTCATGCTTCCTACGTGGGTACCACTGATCACCTAACCTTGCATGAACTTCCTGAAAACATACGAAAACTATGACCCGTTGCTAATTAGTGAGCACCTTGCAACGTGCTCGCCATCCTCTCGTCAACCATGTAGACCTTCTGATCCAGCGACGACAATTTTCCGCTCTCTGTAGGAATGATCCGGAGCCGGCGAAGCTGGTCGACGTCCGACTGGGAAATGTTGGCAGTGGCCAAGATCTGCAGCAGAAAGTGGATCAACTTTAACTCCTCCGAAATGACGCTTTGAGGCAGGACCCGGGTCATTTGTTCCTCTCTCTGGGACAAGGACTCCAGGCATTTGTAGGCAATGGAACCATTGAGTTCGGAGATATGTAGCTCATTTGCCAAATTCTTTGAAATCAAACCTTTCTCGAAGAAAAGATTGCACCCGTTCAAAACATCCTCCTTGGGGCAAGCTCAGGCAAGTGATCACAAAGCGTCACTGTCTTGCAATGAACATGCAACCAACAGAAATTCCAAATGTTGAATCAACTAGAGCACTCAATTTACATGAACATTTGACATCATTGGATGACTTGGATGGCAGGAGATGCTCAGCACATTCGGACTGGGAGAAGTCGTCATCAGCACAGAAAAGGCCAAGTTTCCAGAACTCTTTGGACATCGGGATCGGAGGTCATTGGACCGGCCTCCGGGTTCTTGACACTCAAAGGTTTGATCAACAGCTACTTTTCGTGGCTGTCACAACAGAATAGTTTCAGTAGAACTCTGAAGCAGTTGTTCTAATCATTTTTTAAAGAATTTTTGTTGAAATCTCAATTTCTATAAACCTCATGGCTTGCAAGGTTCAACATAAATTCTCTACATGATGCCACAGGCTTTGACCCAAGGTCCGCCTGGGTGCTGTTCCGTAGCTCACTGCGAACCACTTCTGCTGGTGTCACACAGCAGCTGCCACTGCCTTTCTGCACCAGGATGAACTTCCTCTTTGCCAAACCTGCCAGGATTTGTCGTGGACTGTCCACGAAGAACTCAGCGGCTTCACCAGGCAAAGGGATGATCTGATAGAGGCGGCGAAACTCTTCTGCCTGGGCAGACCCAATCAATGCAATCCATGGATTCAAAGCTATGAAAATTGGCATAGCTTAGGTGGCTCCTATGGATTGGCCCTCATGGTTCCCATATGCATTGACAGCCGCCTAGACATCCCGATACCATTGACAGTTGCGCCAGCCTTCAAACCCTTAAAACCCTTAAAACCCCTAAAATGCTCCCTCACCAAGCCCTGCTGTAAGCTTCTGCTGTTCCAGTGTTGCAGCCTGCCGTTTGCCTGCATAGCCTGCAGCCTGCTGTTTGCCTGCACATACCCCTCTGTTGTTAAGGCAATCAAGCCTGCCGTTTGCCAGCCTTCAAACGCTTAAAACCCTTAAAACCTTTAAAAAAATACTTAAAATGCTCCGAATCCCTGGCGGTACCTTCCACCAAGCCCTGCTGTAAGCCTTCTTAAAACCCTGAAAACCATTCAAACCCCTAGAATGCTCCGAATCCCTCGCGGCAGCTTCCACCAAGCCCTCCTGTAAGCCTTTGCTGTTCCAGCGTTGCAGCCTGCCGTTTGCCTGCACATAGCACTCTGTTGTTAGGGCGTTCAAGCCTGCCGTTTGCCTGCCTTCAAACCCTTAAAACCTCTAAAACCCTTAAAATGCTCCGGATCCCTGGCGGTACCTTCCACCAAGCCCTGCTGTAAGCCTTCTTAAAACCCTTAAAACCATTCAAACCCCTAGAATGCTCCGAATCCCTCTCGGCAGCTTTCATCAAGCCCTCCTGTAAGCCTTTGCTGTTCCAGCGTTGCAGCCTGCCGCTTGCCTGCACATGCCCCTCTGTTGTTAGGACGTTCAAGCCTGCCGTTTGCCAGCCTTCAAACGCTTAAAACCCTTAAAACCTTTAAAAAAACACTTAGAATGCTCCGAATGCCTGGCGGTACCTTCCACCAAGCCCTGCTGTAAGCCTTCTTAAAACCCTGAAAACCATTCAAACCCCTAGAATGCTCCGAATCCCTCGCTGCAGCTTTCACCAAGCCCTCCTGTAAGCCTTTGCTGTTCCAGCGTTGCAGCCTGCCGTTTGCCTGCACATGCCCCTCTGTTGTTAGGACATTCAAGCCTACCGTTTGCCAGCCTTCAAACGCTTAAAACCCCTAAAACCCTTAAAATGCTCTGTTGCCAGCCTTCAAACCCTTAAAACCCTTAAAACCCCTAAAATGCTCCTTCCACCAAGCCCTGCTGTAAGCCTCTCCTGTTCCAGTGTTGCAGCCTGCCGTTTGCCTGCATAGCTTGCAGCCTGCTGTTTGCCTGCACATAGCACTCTGTTGTTAGGGCGTTCAAGCCTGCCGTTTGCCAGCCTTCAAACGCTTAAAACCCTTAAAACCTTTAAAAAAATACTTAAAATGCTCCGAATCCCTGGCGGTACCTTCCACCAAGCCCTGCTGTAAGCCTTCTTAAAACCCTGAAAACCATTCAAACCCCTAGAATGCTCCGAATCCCTCGCGGCAGCTTTCATCAAGCCCTCCTGTAAGCCTTTGCTGTTCCAGCGTTGCAGCCTGCCGTTTGCCTGCACATGCCCCTCTGTTGTTAGGACGTTCAAGCCTGCCGTTTGCCAGCCTTCAAACGCTTAAAACCCCTAAAACCCTTAAAATGCTCCGTTGCCAGCCTTCAAACCCTTAAAACCCTTAAAACCCCTAAAATGCTCCTTCCACCAAGCCCTGCTGTAAGCCTCTCCTGTTCCAGTGTTGCAGCCTGCTGTTTGCCTGCATAGCTTGCAGCCTGCTGTTTGCCTGCACATAGCACTCTGTTGTTAGGGCGTTCAAGCCTGCCGTTTGCCAGCCTTCAAACGCTTAAAACCCCTAAAACCCTTAAAATGCTCCGTTGCCAGCCTTCAAACCCTTAAAACCCTTAAAACCCCTAAAATGCTCCTTCCACCAAGCCCTGCTGTAAGCCTCTCCTGTTCCAGTGTTGCAGCCTGCCGTTTGCCTGCATAGCTTGCAGCCTGCTGTTTGCCTGCACATAGCACTCTGTTGTTAGGGCGTTCAAGCCTGCCGTTTGCCAGCCTTCAAACGCTTAAAACCCCTAAAACCCTTAAAATGCTCCGTTGCCAGCCTTCAAACCCTTAAAACCCTTAAAACCCCTAAAATGCTCCTTCCACCAAGCCCTGCTGTAAGCCTCTCCTGTTCCAGTGTTGCAGCCTGCCGTTTGCCTGCATAGCTTGCAGCCTGCTGTTTGCCTGCACATAGCACTCTGTTGTTAGGGCGTTCAAGCCTGCCGTTTGCCAGCCTTTAAACGCTTAAAACCCTTAAAACCTTTAAAAAAACCCTTAAAATGCTCCGAATCCCTCGCGGCAGCTTCCACCACGCCCTCCTGTAACCTCGGTCCGCTACGCCTCCTGATCCCGCGGCTCCCCCATGCACGGGGCGCCCCGGGCGCACAACGGCGGACCCACGCTCCTCCCTTCAGAGCCATATACAGGAGTCCCCAAATAGGGGGAGTCGGCGGCACCAGGGCGCTAGCCCATTCGATTGACATCCCGATACGATTGACACTTGAGAACTCCAGAGGTCCATGACTCCAAAATATCCACACCGCCATAAATCATGTCAGATTTTTTTGAAACGAAGGCTCTCGCTCTGCTTCATCGGAACTTGCCAGCGCACGGTTTGCCAGACCTTCAATCAGGTCACCTCATAGAAACAATCGCTGCGTGAACATGTCCTGAACAGCTGTGCTTCTATGGCATTCTACGGGCCCTTCGGCCCTTCTGAAAATCGTTGGATTCTTAGCAAAATCGACCTGTGAAATTGGCAAATGCGACTCTCCAATCCTGCAGTCAAAAACCTGTCAGTGCAAAGGTTGAAGGACCGAGTGACAGAATGCATCCGGAAGTGCAGCACGAAGGCATTGATTCATCGGGTTCTCAGCCAAGATCGCTTCTCGCGAAGAAGGTACTGCCCAATCAGCTTGAAGGATGAATCTAAAGCCGTAGGATCTCAAAGGCAGCCAAGCAAAAGCTGGAAGTTGTTCCAGATGGTGCAGTTGCTTTGAAGTTGTTCGGGGGAATGCGATCTGCAATTCAACGTTTTGGGCATCCCGCAACATGGATGGCATGGATGGCATTGGCAACGGCACCGAATGACGATGGACCTTAGCAGCTTGTTAAGTCAAGTTAAGTCTGGAAACAAGTGAATAGAAGCAAACTTCAAAAGTCAAGTCAAGTAGAACCAAGACAACACGCCGAAAGTTTCTTTGGAACCAGTGATTCTGCAGTGTCAAAAGTAGGGTTTTCGGGTTTTTTTCCTCTACTGAAGCGAGTCTGTGGAATCTGTGGAACATCGAAGATCCGAGTTTGCAAAGAGATTTTCCCATTATCATTGCTACATCAACTGATGTTATGTTTACATATGTTTACATATGTTTACTATCCTCATCATCTTTGCGAAATGTGTTGCGAACTGTTTTGCGAACTGTTTTGCGAACCTCAAAAAGTTACTAACAGTTCGGTTCACTGCGATTCCGCTACTGCGCAAAAACGATTCGAAAAGGGGAGATCCGATCTGACAAAAAAAACTGTCAAGGTGCCCGCCATAGGACTTGGGAAGTCTCCTGGCAGGGAAACTGACATGCCAAGCCATGCTAAGACATGTGCTATGACAATAAAACAGATAAAACAGAATGCGTATGTCTGCTAAGTCTACTATCTGTTGAAACTCACCAGGCTATTACAGTATTAGCATCTACACTCAAGCAATTACCATTCATCACAACATCCCCAGCATGTTGTACCAAGAGATTATCAAGAGTAATAGCACTACCCACAAAAAATGTATCACCTGCAAAACACGGAGTCACCCACGGAAATGCACAACATTTGATCTACTAATACTCATGTCCTCGCAGAGATTGCCAGGCGACGTTGTTTTGACTGATGTTTGTAACTTTACAACTTCGCCAGTCTCATCCTGAAGTTCTGTTGCTTTCAGCCATGCGACTTGCGGAACATCTGAACACACAAAGCATACAAAAGCATACGAAAACAGTTATGGCAGGAGAAATGATGTGCACTTTAAAGTCGGTGATGCGTGTGACCTCTAAAAAGGCAAATGAAATGCAGAAATGCAGTAGAAAACTGAGAACACAGAAAAACAGCAACTGAAAAGGCAAAATTTGGGAACTGAAGCTGAAGTAGCTTAGACCATTGCTTGAGTGTGAAACTGCGTTTGCTGCATTGCTTGGACGTGCAGCCAAGCGTCATAATTGGTCTTTTGGATCTCTTTCTGTATACTGTGCACCTGATCCTTGGCGCACTTTGCACAGGGTGTTCCCCTGGGTCAGCGCAATTCGAAGAGTTATCTCAGGTGTTGTTTCACCATGTTTCACCATTGTTTCTCATGGATTTTTCTTGCCCTTAGGATGACGCAGAGGCAGCGGAAACATATGGCCTGGATGGCCGATTCGTAACGCCCAAGTTTCCATGATGGTGATCTTGTCCAGCTTCCTGAGGAAGAGCAAAAGTTCAGGTCTCAAATCCTGGCGTGGCCATGGGAAGGCAGGTTGGCCCTGGCCTTGGCAACGTTTTTTCCACTTCCAGATTTGGGCAAATACGCTGAGTGAAGCTACATGTAAATAGGCACCGAAAGAGATATCTGACAAAGTTGATGTACCGGATAAAACGGCATTACTATCTATACATGTAGAGAGTGAGAATTGGTTTGAAGGCCCTTGACCCTCATCCTCAAGCTCCAGCCTCTACCACTCGTCGGCACTTGTCGACAGTGGTTTGATCATACAAAGGCAGAACCAGCCGTGTGCCAAATTGAAAATCGTGTGGACGCCGCAACGGAAATGGGATCAAATAGCCAAGGCCATCCAAGGCCTCCAAAAAAGGTCACTTGAGATCACTGGCAAATGGCAACTGCCAACCATTGAGTCAAAACGAAACCTGGAGCATGATGAGCATGCAAACAATGCTCCAACCATACATGATTCTACAGACCTTGGTAAAAACATGCAAAAGGGATCGTAGGCGCAGACGACATGTCGACTTTTTCGGCTGGCTCCTCAGAGTCGAAATGGCAATGGTACTGCCCAGAGTGCAAAATGGGAGTGGAAGTTGCACAGAAGACCGATTTGAAGCCAATGCCTTTTGCTCCGATAAACTTTCGGGCACCTCAGTGGCCACAGCGCAAGAAGCTTTGAAAATCATATGGCACCTCAGTGCTGCCAGGGCACTGCCTGCCTTTGTCGACTGCGCAATGTCACACAAAGCTTTCAGATTGAAGTCGCCTCAAAACATGCCATCAGTTTTCACGACCTCAATACATCGCCTTGTGAACTGAAAACAAAGGTAAGCTATGGATAAACTATGGATAAACTATGGATAAACTTGGCATGTGACTCCATGTGACATTGTCGGTGTTGAAAACTCAGCAACAATTCAGACTGACAGGGGCGCCATCATCTCAGGACATTAAATTTTGTTGCCTGAACTGCTTGAACAACTGTGTTCTGCCAAGTGGCGAAAACCGGTTTCATTGTGCTCAACAATCCTAGGACACAACCCCCTCTCAAAACGCACACAACCAGGAGATGAGAACAGCGAAAAACACCGAAATAGACTTCCTTAAAATAATCCAGCAGTCCAAGTATGTGCTAGTCAAACGAGGATCAGGAAAGCAACTGCCGGCTTTGCAGGTTCGAAGGTCGTCCATTGGGCAAACTTCTCTGGATCAGTCCTGGACACTTGCCAGATTTGAATTGAGAATGTTTGCATTCCATATATCATCATATATCTATGTCCTTTGAGTACCAGTATTATAAATTGAGATATGGTGAAAAGAACGCAGTTGACTCGCTGCACGTCAACAAGCAACAGCAAAACTGGCAAAAAATCATGTACCATGAAGCCAATTGGGGTACACTGTCGACCTAGCACCAATTCGCACTTGTTCCCAATATGTATAAGGGGGGTCAATTTCGGTAACCATGAAGGTAAGGAGCACAGTTTGTTTTGCTAAGCGGCTCAAAAGTGACCTTGAGGCTTGGCAGCACATTTTCTGCGAAATCACAATCATCTGCGTTCTGCAAGAGCTCCAACATGAAATGCACCTTGCAATCAGCACAAAGACACTGCTTACAAGGTGCCAAACAACAATTGCAGTATCTTTATGCCGATTGCAAAGTGAGAGGATCAAAGACACAATTCTATTCAACTTGGGGCACAAATGCGTGCCAATGATACGGCAGTGTGTCAAAACCAATAGTACCCCTTCTGTTCACATCAAAATAGCTGGGTTAAAATGGATGTTCATCCCCCAAAAAATGGTATTTTCATAGGTATTGATCCATACCCATATCTCAGCGCCAAGAACCTCTATGGAATGCCCATCCATGGACACATCTCCGGCGCCTCCCCGCTGTATAAATCATCTGCCAATCGTCTCACGGCGCCTTGCACTGTCTGCCTGAAAAGAGGAGCTAATGGGTGGAACTCTGAGCACTCGACTCCTCTAGAGATCTGGGGGTTTCCATAAATTTGGGTACCCCATTAAAATCGCTGGATGGTTTATTTATAAATGTTTATAATTTATAATGGAAAATCCTACCAAAATGTGATGAAAACTGGGGGTACCCCCAGTTTTCAAAACGGAAAGCTCCAGATCTGGAAACATGTTGCCAAGATTTTTAGTGCAACTTCGCTGCTGCAAGGAGCGGAAGACTGCGCTCACCGGCTGCTTCAGCCACTTTCGCGTGACTGGATCAACGTCTTGGAACTTTACGCCTTTGTTCCTGGCCGAGTTGCAATATGTTGCAATACTCAATCGCTCTTTCACGCAACCAATCTGGTTTCACCGTTTCAACCGACACTGCAGCCAACTTCGGTGGCGAAGAGGCGAAGACAGAAACATGTTGACCAAGTGCTCAAATCCAGACCATTGCTCAAATTGGTTTCCAAACCTTTCAAAAGACACCTGGTTTAGTTGATTCCTGTCGTCCCAATCAGCACATCTTTTCCCTTCGGCACTGAGAATGTCTCAGGTCTCAGGTCTCAGCCTGGCGATTCTTCGGCACAATTTGCGATTCTCCGCTTCTTCGTCAACCGTGTCTCGGGTGTTGTCATCTTCTGTGCCTTCAGAAATAATCCCACCATCACCTGGGCTGATCAAACATCTCATGTTCCAGGATTTCCAGGTGCATGTTCATCACAATCCATTGAATACTGGATGTAATACTGAAGATGAATGCTGAATACTGCATGTAATGAATGTTCCAGGTGCATTTGAATAGTGAATACTGCATGTAATGCTGAGCTTACGTGCTTACGTTGGGCATGCATATGCACTAAACTTGAAACTCGCCCACTTCTACATCCTCCGCATCCACCAGAATCGAATTTTTGCCGTGCCCTAGAGGTCGGAACTTCTGCGAGGCACTGGAATCCACCTCACTGTTCTCCATCTTCTTTCCCAGGGAAGTGCTTTTCTTGGCACGGATTGATCCACCACCAGACACTGCAGGACCATCAACAAAACATCCTGAACGCTGGCAACGAATTGATCCCCGCAGGCCCTGAGGCCAGACAAATTGACAAATCATGTGTTGATATTATTCCCATGTAGAAGTAAGATCTCGCAAATGCCAACAGCTGAGAACAGGAATGGGCGCAGTGCAGAGCGAGGTTCCAACATCAGCAGGGTAGCTGCTTCCCCATTTCAGTTCCCAGTCGGTGACACCAGCATATTTTGCAAGCCACCTGCACAAAAAATCAGCCTTTCATGTAACAGGCTGTCACAAGAGTCGGTCTCTGATTTTCTCCTGAAGGCTGAGCATGAACCAGGACTCTACCGTACCCACATCTCAAATGTGACTCCTGTGGCCTGAACTGTGAAATTTCTTCCAGAATCAAGTGAACAATACCCTCTGGTAAACTAACATAGCTATGGAAAATCACCATTTTTAATGGGAAAATCCACTATAAATGGTCATTTTCAATAGCTATGTTAAATTACCAGAGGGTAAGTCACCAAAAAAAAAAGTGACGTTGAAGCACTTCGTCAACGCCAGATCTGTCGCCTGAGGCTCCCTGTCCATTCGGGTCGACGCTTTGCACTGAGAATCATCTCACTTTTCGGCAAAGCGAGTTGGAGATACGCTTTGGCCAGCACGGGTGCCACTGCATCACGCCACCTGCACAGTAAAAGCTGAATTGGCACTGTTCCCACAACCCCACAGGGGCTATCCACAGCCATGTTCCAAAAACATCCAAAAAAAAACAAAATCAATCACCCGTGCGTCGAACTTCTCTGGTCTACGCGAACAATCCCCCAAGAACCGCACACCAGATTCAGGCCCTTCGAATCAACAAGAAAGCCTGGGTCCCCCATGACAGCTATTAGCCAGCTATGCCAGCTATGCCAGCTATCGAAAATGCCGGTCATGACAGCTCTCCCCGAATCTCCGCATCCCTCGGCACTCGATGGGCAAAACTGCGATGCTTTGCAGCACAAAAGTCTCCCGCAAGCCGCCGGACCATCCCCTGTGCAGCCAGGACTACTGTGGGGTGGTGGTTCCTCAAGTTCCTTTTAAGCCCAAAGTCTGAAGCTCAAAACGACATGATCAATGATCATCATATATATATATTATATATATATTATATATATATATATACCCTAAGGATCTCGGTTCAAACTCCGACTTGCCCCCTTGTCGTTGTGTCAACCGCGCATCCTTAGCGGGTGGTTTACCCGCGGGCCATACTATCTGCTGATCGATTTCTTCGCCAAGGACTTCTTTCTGCATCGCTGGCCTTTTCTAGGTTTGGGGTCATCCTAAAAACTCTGATCGTGGAACTATACATTATCTGTCTTGACCTTCACTGGTGTTTTTCCTGGTTTACTGGTCTCACATTGGTTTTGTATTGCATTTCCTGGCTCTGCGGTGGCCTACAACCGTCATCTTCCACCTTGCATTGAACAGATTTGCGGCTCATTGGTTTCAATTTTCCAGAACCTGTGCTCTATTTCTGGCTCTGCGGTGGCCCACACCGGATTATTTACATTTCGGGTGACAATATTTAGTACTGAACTGGTTCTTACCCTGGTACTAGCTACTTTTTATATTTTCCACCTTTGTTCTGCTGGCGATACATTCATTGCACTCAACTGGTTTTCGCCCTGGTGCTTTGGTATTGAACTACGCACTACATTGGACAATTTATGTGTTCATTTATTTTGGCATTTTTGCTTTTGATTGTGATTTTCGATTTGATCAACGACTCTGTTCCAGACTGGCACATTGCGCAGAAGACAGCGCAGACAAAGGGCAGCGGCACGAAGAACGTGGTTCTTACATTGCAAGGGTTTCATTCATTTGACACCACCTGCTTTGCGGAGACTGCTGCACACTCTTGCGGCTCACCATTCCAGGGACAAACATTTGATCAATCGTATCCAGAAACAAATCATCATGTCAGACGAAATTTGGCCTTGGAAGTGCAACCATTGCCAACGAATCAACAAAAAGACTGCATTAAAATGCGCGATTTGCTATGCGCATTGGAGCAGCGGGTCAAAGCACCATACCGAACCAAGACAAAGAACGAAGACCATGGTTGGGAGGACTGGCCCCAATTTTGGGAAGAGCGGCATCCCTCATGGCAATGGGACAACCAACCATCGAGATCCCATTCGAGATCGAGCACTCACAGCAGTCACAGTGCCAAATCCCAAACCCATGCCACTATGGGCAAACGTGGCAAGGGCAAGGGGAAGAAAAAGGTCAAGGGTGGAAAAGAAAGCAAGGGAACGAGCGGAACCACTCCACTGAGCTCATCCCCTTTCAGCCCACTTGCTTCGCAACTTCCGCCATGGCCTACCCAAGACACTGCAGTGTCTACCCTGCTGCCATCGGGGACATCACCAACGACACAGCAGATCATAGAGACAGTTGCACAGAAACGAGAAGTGATACAGGCATTGAAGAATGCATATCCAGACAATTCCACTGCACCATCAGAGACAAAGGAGCTCATCGAGAAGATGGAGAAGGATGTGGAAAGATTAGAAAAAGAGAACTCAAAGGCAACAACAAAAAATTTGCACACTGCAACGAAATCTTTGGGCAAAGCCCAAAAAGTCCTCACGGAGACATTAGAGGCCAGGAGAGCTCACCGTGTACGCTGGACCAAGCATATCACGGATGCTGCGAAAACATGGGAAACCCAATTGCACGAGTACAGACAGCAACAGGCTTCCTTCCAGGAAGTGGCGGCCAAAGCCAGAGCGGACATAGAATTTGCACGGAGTGCGATTCAGACACTTTCGGCAAAAGCCACCACAGCGACATTGGCCTCAATGCCACCGATCACTCCCATCAGTGCCGAGTCGGAAGATCTGACACTGGACGACGACCAAGATGCAGAGACAGCACAACAACACCTCCAGAATGTTCTGCAGAGTTGTGCCGCCTCCCTTGGCATGGAAGCGAAAGGAGTGAATACAGGACAAGCGCAGGGGATCGAAGACGACAGTGTAGACAATACCGACAAGAACAAGAAACGACCCCGTGCAATGGAACCATTTGCAGGTGGTGGGCAAGATGCTTTGCCATCATCTACACCCAAACAGTGAGCTCAGGCGGTGCACAGTTAGTTCTTTGCAATAGCTTGCATGACGCCGAGTTTCAAGCCCAAAGTGTTGAGGCCTATGTGGAATTGACAAGGGAACCAACTTTTCCGCATGCAGCATGCACTGAAAGGCTTACCAGTTTTGATTATGATCGTTTCCTGCACTGGAAGCATTCGATCCAACAAAGCCCAAAATATCAAAATCCATTCACTGCGGTCCTCTCTGCCTTGATTGCACGATGGGATGTCCTGAGTGCACAGTTTTGTGATGTGATTGCAAATTTACGAAGTGACCACAATGAAGATGCATGTATGAATGATCAACCTAACACCGTGCCGATGAGTTTGATTTCTAGTTTTGCACCTGACGTTGCAGCTCCGCAAGTTTTGCTTGGTGAGCTCCGTAGTTGCATCAAAAAGAGAAACCGTTGCGTTGCTCCGGAATCAGCCAGCATCTCCAACTCTCGTGGTAATTCCAGTAGGAATGTTCGTTTTCACTCTGGAGTCTGCGTGTTAATTGGAATTGAAGATGAAATCATGATGTCTTCCAGTTTCATGCAGCATGATGAATTATCCAGTTGGCTTGACAAACCATGGTCAAAAAGACCAAACAAAGCAGAGAAGTCATCCAAACATGGACAAGATATATCACCCGATACACTGCGCACCACAGATGCATATCACGATGTGCCATCTACTTGGTCCAGAGATCGAAATCAACCCCCTGAAGAAGCCAGGGAGGATCCAGAAGATGCCAACCATTTCCTACATGAAGCGCCCGAATCTGTTCAATACCTTTTCGATGCACTTCAAACAGAGGGAGTTGTTGAAGGACCAAGAATCCGTGACAGTGTCTTCCTTCGATCCTGGTTTGTTCACCATACCCATATGCAGCAGTGTTTCCACTCCAGAATCATTGAAATCAATGGTCATTGGAGATTGTGGTTTCAAGACATCATTGACAGTTGGAGAGATAAGATCTTGCCATTGGAACAAGTCATTTTTGACATTGTGCGGCCTAACCCACCGAGAACAGAAGCTCATCAGGAGATTCTTCTTGATTTGATCATTTCGCAAGGCATTGACCTGCCTAGACGTGCTGGACTTGTGACCATCCTACAGAAAGATGACCGTGAAGCAAGAGCAGCTTACGCAGTTGCGGCCTCGCTACCGGAACAGACCAGTGGCTACCAGATTGTTCAAAGCGCTGAGTATCTTTTTGGTTGCCAGATTTATCAATGTTCCATACGGCATGGATGGTATCGCATTCCATTCACCATGGCACCAGTGCATAATACACAGGATGGTGATTCTTTCGTTGTTGCGGTTGCCAGCAGAGCTGAATCATCCTCCGTTCCTGCAGGAGAAAGTGGAAACAATGAACCACATGGAGGATCTGAATCCTATGATGATCCCTTTGATCCTGAAGGCGACTCGGACATGCCATCGCAGAGCCTTGCGACAAGTGCAGATCAACAATCCGGTGTACATATTCACCGTCTTGGACACCGCCAAAGACATGTCAAAATTAGATGGGACACTATTGACCATGTCCTGAGTGATGTTGCAAGAATTTTCAACATACCAGTTGATGATTTGAGAACCTTCCATCATCTTCAGGTTGCACCTCCGGATCAACATATCAATGAAGAAGGAATTATTCTGCAACACGTCAGTGACATACCAGATGGTTCCACAGAGAAACTTATTTTGATTGATGTTGAAATGCATCAGGCACACAGACATGACACTGTACCGCGTGCGCCACCAGTTTTGCGTCAAGTTCATCGCACAGTACCAAATCTGGTTCGCAGACACATCCTGCTTCTCACGCATACTGCTGGATACTGTGATTGGCACCCGCTTGATTGCATCGTGCTCCTCAACAATGCACTATGGCCTCAACAAGATTTGAATCCAAAACGCATTGAGCATGGCATGTACATTAGAGTCATTATACCATCACCGCCTGAAAGCAATTGGGATATTGGTCGTGCCTTGCAAGTTTTCCATGATGCTTTTGAACTTTTTGATCCCCATTATGCTGGTCAAATTGCATTTGACATCATGCAGGGTCCATCAAGCAATCTTGAACCATCAGTTCCACATCAGTCCATTGCGGCCTGCCCACCCACTTTGGATGTGGATCACCATGAGATAAATGATCAAGATGCCATTGATGCCATTTCCTTCATGCAACATGACCTTCCCCGCATTTCGAACATCGAAGACATCATTGATTTGAATGCTACCAGTCATGGAAGCTCAGATATCATACCAGAGGATTGGATCATTGATTTACAACGAATTGTACAACATCATGAGAACATTTGTCCACACGATCCAGATGCGGAGTTCATTGTTTCTGTATACACCTGGCTTGTGGATCATCAAACCCAACGCCTTTGCAATACACCCAAGATTGCAATCTTGGGTGGAGATCCAACGGAATGGTATGAAGATATCCTACATCCGTGGAGATTTCAGATCCAAGATGATCAACCAATCTTCCTTGACATTGTGCAGCCACATGTACAGAGATCTGACATTGAAGAACATATCGCACATATCATCATCACCCAACGACAATCAGCTGACCGGTCTGTCCTGCTTTCCATGAATTTCAAAGGAGAGATGCCTCCTGATGTTATCATTAGGTTTGCAGTTGTACTACCGAAATCTTGCACTGCACAGCATGTGTCTGAAGCTGTCCCATTATACGCGTTGCATTCTCTCAACCGTATTGTTTGGGAACACCCAGTCCTACTCTTTGATGATCAAGTTTTTCAAACTCGACAAGGACTGGGAATACAGGTGACGGTTTGGCCTGAAACTGATCCTGTGAACGAAAGAAGTGATGACAGTGTGAGCCTCCTACAAGGTAATGCAGCCACAAGTGCGAACGAATTGTC